ACACGACGGCCTTAATTTATTTATTTTAAATGCTGTGATTAATTGAGTTCTTGAGGAATGCGAGACATCCGCGCTGCTGAGGTCAGATCCTCCTCCGTATCTGCGAATTTCATGAGAAAAGCAAAAAAATGGTAATAGATACAAAGGAAAAAAAACGCCTAGCGCAGTCTGTGCAGTGAATTATCCAGGGGGAGCCCAGAAGAAAGGAGGGGAGACTCGGATTCAAGCTTGCCATGAGGATCTCACTCCATACAGCCTTGTATTTGACTATCACCTTCATTCATCCTTTAGACACCAGAACCAGACTTTGTCAGTCTGTACTGTATAAGGAGACTATTTCATTGCTTATATGAGTGTATGAGGCAGTTGGAACTGATTAGAAGATTGCTGGGGGTTATTTTAAATTTTGTTATATGCAGTTGCATAAGTGACAGTATTTTTCTCAAGAATTCTCAAGCTCTGGTGCTTTCATATGCGGTGTAAAGTCTTCCTCTAGCCCCCAGTTTAAAAGCTTCTATTGACTTCTACTGTTTTAAATTAAAGGTGCTGTAAGCAATTTTTTATTTTTTTAAACTTCTACTGTTTTAAATTAAAGGTGCTGTAAGCAATTTATTTTTTTTAGTGAATGCAAAAAATGTTCCTAATACCTGACAGATATCACTGAAATAGGTGCCTTGAGAAATCACAGCTGTCTTTGTGGCAGCCCTAGGCTCTGTAAACAGCACAGAAGACTTAGGAGAGTGTTTTTTAGCCAGTCTGAAACACTGCTTTGTAAATAAATTGTCAGGGCAGAGTTTTAATTGAGAGGGTGAATAGTTAAAATTAAAGTAGTTGCATTGTGCATGAATAGGACACAGTGTAAACAAAAACTTTAAGGATTTTTTATTTCTAAATGATATAATTTAGTCTATTTATGAATATTTTTTGCTAGACATTTTTCATGAATGTGGCCTTTACAAGCACAGACGCACGTGTGCTCAGCTAGAACTCAGATTCTGCATCTTGCCTTATGTTTCAACTAAAGATGACAAGTTGCTAGCTATAGTCTTTATGTATGAAGTCAGCTTTATATCATAACACATGTCTCCATATATAACCCTTACAGCCAATGACCTGTTAAACATCTGGCGTGGTTCAGAGAGCACTTCTTCATTGAGCATTTCTCTCTTTCTCTCTGTAGGCCCTCTACAGTTTGTCGCTGGTTTAACACACACCCTTTCTCCAGTTCTATACATCCATCTCCTCTTCCCTCGCTCCATCCCTGCTTGTGTCCAGAGAAAGGAACGCTCACTGACAGATCTCACACCCGTAGTGCTGCAGGCAGTTTCTCTCTCTCTCTCTGGAAAGAAAAGTCCTGCCTGTGTGAGGAGGTTCCGTTGGGAGCGCCGGCTTTGGACGCAGGCCCAGATCAATGTGACCTAAATTCAAATGCGAATTAGAAGGCTGTCAGTGGGAAAGGACACTCTGCAAATGAGCTCAGACAGTGCGGGGCCCCTCGGCCTTGCCCCCGCCTTGCCGTTTTAATGAGTTCCAAATGGGCGACCTGGCTGCAGCGTTTCTGATCGGCTCGCCGCCCCTCCACCTCTATCTCGGAGGCTGTTCGCCACCTTCGCAGCCAGAGCACGAGAGCACTGGGGCCTCGGCAGGGTCCACTGACTACAGGCTTGCCGGCGCACCTGGAGCAACCTGCCCAAGGTCACTGGAGAAATCTCAGCGAGAGAGGAAATACCAGAGCTTTCTAATGGGAGTGAGTCTTGATTGCTGTAATGGCTTAAACTGGAACATACTGGAGCAGCATATGATGGATATATTATGTGAATTTTATGGCTCAGGTCAAGCTGTGAAACACAATAGTGTAGGTGAAAATTCATTGAGGGTTGAATTATCTGCTAAAAAATAACTATGAAATTCTGTGGAAAGTTGGCCTCTTTTATGTTGCAATTTTTTTAAAAGACAGGTAAAATAATAAAACAATAAATTGGCTCCTTATGAAAGAACCATACAGTGAAATCATATATTCAAACATAGAAAGCCATTTTACATATTATTTCAAATGTTAAATAATTTAACATGAAGGAAAATGAATAAAAAATATTTCATATTTTGTACTCTTTCAGGCCAAATAAACAAATTTGTAAATGATCATGTGAACTTCTTTGTATTTTGCATACATTTTTTCAGTACAGTTTACATTGTCAGCATTGAGTGAGACATTTTTGAAGAATTGAAACATTTACATTTCAGAGTTTCCTAGTATTTGTAGTATTTCTTAATATTTGGATCATTCACAAATCATACAGGAAAATATGATCATTAGGGTTTACACAAATTTGTGAAGATCATGCAGATGTCATTAAAGTTTATGCAAATGTGGTTAAATCAAAAGTGTTAAGTTTTAAGAACTAAATATTAAGAAACTCTACAATCTACACAATTGTTCAAAACTTTGGGGTCAGAAAGAAAAAAAAATCTTTTATTTCAACAGATTTCAACATTTTTGATAATAAGAAATGTTTCTCGTGCACAAGATCAGTAATACACAAATACTGTAGTAACAGCTGCTGAAAATTCAGCTTTGTCATCGCAGGAATAAATTACATTTTAAAATATATTCAAATAGAAAACAGTTATTTTAAATGGAAATAATATTTTCCAATATTACATTTTTTTGTGTATCTTTGATCAAATAAATGCAACCTTGGTCAGCATAAGAGACTTTTTTCAAAGACATTAAAAAAACCTCAAACCTAAATGGCAGTGTATATTAATGTTTCAGTTTTCAGACCTTTTCACTTAAAGGCACAATATGTAAGATTTTTTTATTAAAATATCCAAAAACCACTAGAACAGTGTTATATATTT